AAATGGGATCAGCAGTGTGGGCTCCTGGCGAGCCTCCCAGCCGGGTAGTCGGCGACAGGGTGGTGAGGGTCTGGCTCTGTGCACCCCGATTCCTCGTAGAAATAGTGGGAAGGCTGAGGCCAGAGCAGCGTGGGCCTCAGCGAGGGCTCAGCAGAGCAGTGCGGGCTGGGTCAAGACCCTGCGGCTACTCTGCTCCCAAAGGTCCTGGTCACCCCAAGTCCTTGGCCTCAGCCTGAGAGCTGAATTAGGGTCACGCTGCCTCCTTCTAGCCAATCAGTTGGCCTCCCTGAGCCTGTTTTCTCATCTGAGGGCTAACAGGGTGTTGACAGTCACCCCCACGGGTGGGCCTGAGGACCCCGTGAATGGACCCCAGTGAGGAGCACGGGCAGGTGGCAATGGGGGCGCAGATGGCACAGGCCTGCTCACTAGCATGCTGTGGCCAGCTCTCCCCGGTTTCCATTTTCCTCTCTGAGACAAGAGATGCCAAGTGTCTAGTAAGTGCAAGACGGAGATTTAAACCCAAAGGCACTGACCCTTCAGCCCACCTGTCCCTTCCTCTCTCTGAACTTCTGTCTCCAAGTCTTTAAAGTGAAGTTAATGACACTAATGAGTTTGAGGCGTGGCTTTGAAAATGAAATGAACCACTGTGCCAAGCTTGGCACCAAGAAAATAAAGAAAATACTTTTACCAAGCGGCTTTGCAAATGAAATGAGCCACTGTGCCAAGCTTGGCACCAAGAAAATAAAGAAAATACTTTTACCAAGCGGCTTTGCAAATGAAATGAGCCACTGTGCCAAGCTTGGCACCAAGAAAATAGTTTTACAAGTCAGAAAATTCAGGGGTCTGCAGGGGGGGGGGGGGCAATAAAAGCAAGAAAGGGGATTAGCAGGGTTGTAGCGCCACCCTGTGGTATAGTCTGGGAACTGCACCTCAGTCTCCCCCATTCTTGCTCATCCTAGGGGACCTTGCAGATAGCCAGACCACTCTTGTTACCCCTTCCACATGACCTTAGCGGAAAGGGGGTGGGAAACTGGAACTTAAGCAGTTTCTAGCCCCTGTGATTGTGGTGCTGGTCTATGGGGAGCCCAGGTAAAGCCGAGGGTCGGATTGTGAGTGCTCACAACACCTGAGGTTTCTCCTCCACGTCCCTGTGGAAGCAGCGTGCTACACCAGGGCAGGTCCTGGGCAGGTCCTGGGGCCCCAGGGTCTCCTGAGGCTAAGACTCTGACTTTCTGAATTCTGTGTTGAATTTTGACGTTCTTTTACCTTTTCTAAGCAGATAAAAATGGAAAAGCAACTTACAGGCAAATTTGTCATAGAGGAGAAGGAGGGGACCAGGAGCGGGGCTGGGTTAGAGAGGTGCGGTCATCTTGACCAGTAGCACCATTTCCCCGGGATCCTAAATGGCCGGGAGCCAGTGGCGTGGCCTAATTCTCTGCACCTTACTAGAACGCCGTGGTTCTTTGGCCTAACAGTCCTGCAGGTCATGCACAGTGCTGACTCTGCCCAGAAGAGCGGGCAGAGAAGAGCGGGGTGCTACCTTCCCCACTGGGCGTCATGTTCAGTTCTTGGAGGCTTTTCTGCCCCCATCGGCCCCATCGAACACGCCTTCCCTGGGAAGGGCCGCACTTCTCCAGTGCCACTATACCCAAACGCCACCTCTGCTGAATGGACTATTTGCAAATGGGCTGTGGGGGATCACTGGTAGACAAATCAAGGGCCCCAAGATGGGCCAGCTCGCAGTGGCTCTCCTGGATCTAGACGTCCTTACCATGGTCCTGGTGGGGTGCCCGTGCTGGTCCTAGAAAGGGGACAGCTGGCTCTCTGCAACTGACAGCAAAGAGAGACATTAGAAGAAGCCACCATGAGGAAGAGCAGGTGCGGCCATGGTTTTTCCAAGGCCAGAGGGGCCTGGTCCCTTCCACTTGTCATTGAAGGACAGGCCTTTAAAGGTGTCACTGCTTTTCCAGGAGGGAGAAGAAACTGGTATAGAGTCACCCAGGGAGTTGGTGACTGAATGGGGATTTGAACTTAGGTCTCAGGATGCCCAGGCCACCTATAGACTACACCCTCATCATGGGGAACTTCTCCAGGAGTTAAAAGAGCATATGAATGAGTCAGACCACCCCTGGCTCCCTGGGACAACGGTCACGCGCTCCCCCAGAACTCTCTCTGTAACAAGACCCCGCATGGGGTGGGGTAGCCTGGCGCACAGAGGGGGCTGTCACGAGGCAGGCTAGCTCAGGAACCACACTGTAACACCGAGCTACAGAGGGGCACCCCAGGCCTGTAGTCATCCTGATCACGCTAGGCTGAGATAACTCAGGACTCTCTGAAACATGGATCACCAGGGACTGGACTAATTCAGAAAAGGCTCTTAACTGTGTCTACGGGCAGCCCTAAAACCCCACTTCTACACTGATCCTGTGAAGGGGGCTATTTTGGGGGTCCCACTGGAGTAGCTCATATCATTGTTGGCTGGCCAGGAATCTAGTTTTATGGGTCAAGGCATGGGTTTCCAGTTAGGGAGGTTCTCTGTGGCCTCACAATTTGACACCTGCTATCAGGTAGAATTGGGGAATAGAGTGAAAAGGAAAAACTTACTTTTGAACATCCAGTTAACGAATGAGGCTGGGAATTGTTTGTCCTGGGAAAAACCAGAAAGCCCACGTTAGTTGAGCACCTACTCAGTGAGATTCTGTGTCAAAGCCTCACAACATTCCTAGCAACGGAGAGGTTATAAACAAGGAAAGGGAGACTCCAAGATGTGACAGCTTAGCTCAGTTCACAGAGTGAGGTGACACAGAGCTGCTCCTGAAATCGGACAGCTGAGTGCTGGGTGACACAGGCAGTCTTGGCCCCAAGGTCGCTAAAGCTCACTCTGAGGAACACAGCACATCCCGATTTGGGATGTCCCATGAGCCAGCAGCTGGCAGGGTCACGGCAATGCTCAGAGACACTCTGAGGGCAAGGATGCCAGCTAGCTGACTGGACTGCTTGATTTAAATCTTTAAATCAACAACAACGGGAAATTAAGCACTAGTTTTCCTGCTCTGTGCTGGACAAATACATGAAAGTCGTCACAGCTCATCATTATTCTAGATCGCAGGCATGCTAGCATTGCACGCATTAAGATACACGTTATTTGCACTACTGAGACAGTTTTTAAATTTCTTACACCATGCCCTAGGTAAATGAGGCAGAAGGTTGACTGTAAGTGCACACCGATTTCAGAAATGTTCTAGTGTGGTGAGATGTGGGTCAGGACAGAGCTGATCCCTGACGTATCACAGCTTGTCTGATAGACAAGAGACAAGACACGAAGAGGTGAGACGAGCTGCTCAGGATTGTATGGTCGAGCAGCAGTGAGCCTGCCTGCTTGCCAAATCATGGCACCTTCCAGCTCTCTTGACAGGACAGCTGTGGGAACATTTGCTTGGCTGAGAAGAATCCAGTGACTGATTGATGGGAAGGAGCCACCAGGGTGTGAGTCAGATGTGAAGATTCCTCGGGAGACATCCAGCCCTTTGTACCTGAACGTCCAGGTGGTAAAGTTGCACAGATGATGGGGGCACTTGGGGGAAAGAGTAGAGATTCCTCTGCAGCGCCATCCAGTGGGAATCTGACAGGGAGAGAGGGGAGCAGCGGCAATATAACAAATGGATCCAGGAGGCGAGATTATTCCCAAAGTGTCGGAAAATACGTTGTAGCCACAGAGCCATGTGACTCCTAAGGCAAGAGAGGAGCTTCTCAAGCTGTAACTCATCTCTGCTCACCCAGCCACCCCTATTTGCTGCGTGCCTGCTTCCTTCTTGTCTTCCCATCCATGCACATGATGTTCCCTCCTTTCTTCCCTTTTCTTCTTTCTCTTCTCTTTCACCCATCTTTCTTCCTGCCCACCCATCCCTGTAGTTTCCTTCTTCCCTCTCTTCACCCTTTCAATCAATTTAGCTCTGATCTCTACACATACCGATCTGCTGTGTGTCTTCCCACACACCAGTAATACTCTTCCCTTCCATTTATTAGCACGCACACACAAGCACACGTATACACACACGTGTGCACACAACACCCCCTTTTGCTCATTCATTCTTTTATGCGACCACCCTTTCTTCCTTCCTTCATTACTTTATCCATCATGCCTTTCTTTCCTTCCATCCATCTACCCAACAGCTTCTATCTTTTTAGTTTCTCTTATCTCTATCTATCATTTATCTATCTATTCTCCGTCCTTCCATTTATTCATCCATTCACTAAATTCCTGTCTTCCATTTCGCCCAACTTTCAACACATTCTACCTATATTTCCTTGTATTTACGCATCTATCTACTCATCCATCCAGCTACCCTGTCATTCTTCCATGCATGCTCCCACTTTATTTTTCACCATCCATTCATATTTCTTTGTTCCATATCTGATGGTCCAGTACTTAGTCCAACAGAATATGCATGGGGTGCTTACTGTGTGCCCAGCTGTGAAACAAAGAAAGACTGCAATGGAGTCCTGCTTTCAAGGAGCTTCTGTTCCAGAAGGAACAGTCAAGAAACAGCTCAGCTTGACACCATATGATGAGAGTGATAAATAGGCATGTATATGGAGCGAGGAAGAAGGAGCACGCGGTCTGGAGAGATCTGGAAGTCCTTGGGGGAGGACAAACCATTCGGGTCATACCTTGAAGGACTACAGGAAATGTTCCAAGTGAGGGAAGGGGGTGTGGGAAGACTTCCCGAGCAAAGCTGTGATATCGCAAAAGGAGCCGGAATGTTGGGCTGGCTCAGCCCAGCGTGCTGGAGCAGCACAGGGCGGCTAGAGGAAACCGCTAGAGCAGTCATGGGAAAGGTTGGGAGTCCACTTGACACTCCTGGTAATGTCCAGGGCCAGAAGAGTCTGCTCGGAGCATGTTTCCAAGCACCCGCTCTGGAAGCCCAAGAGCAAGCAGGGTAGGTGCGGAAGGGGTGCCGCAACAGTCTGAGCCGTCTCACATCAGTCACACCACTTACATTTCAGCTTGTTCATGTCCTGATTGATGATGCGGAACCAGAATTCGACCATTGGACACAGCTGAAACGCAGATGAGCAGCAGCCACTGTGAGAGGAGACTTGGGCCACCCTCTGTGGTGCCCACCCTGCCTCGGATGATGCGAAACTGAGTCTCTCTATCAGCCTCTCATAAACACACCCCAAGACCCCCTTTTCCACAGTGTGGACTGCTCAGCACGCATTGGTCCCTCTCCCCCTCTCCATAGCAGGGACCTGGAACAAAGGACAAGACCAGCCAAGCGCCAGGAGACTGGGGAGCCCAGAGACAGCGCTGCCAGCCTCTAGCTGCAAGATCCTTCCAGCTGTCTCCAGGGCCCACCCTGTGCCTGCTCTGTTATACTTACCATGTAGGTTAAGAAGCCCTGGAGGTTCTTTTTCACTGCAGATAGTATGACTTTTGCCAGTGATGAAAGCAGGCTGGGGAGAGAGTGGTGACATCCAAAATAACAACCATTATGGCTAATGGTTACGAATGTATCTGGCACTCCCGGGTGCACCTGACATCTATGAACTCAAATTACCATGATAGTTAAAAATACAGGTTGCTTG